TCACACAAACAGTATTGTTGGTTTTTTTTCTGTGTTGAATATCCATGGAAAAAAATATTTTGCATCAACTATGAATGAAAGTATTGGATGAATGAACTTGAAAAAAGAATAAAAATACCTTTGTATTATAGTCTTTCTATTTGGTTAAAAAAAATTTAAAAAAAACGATTCAATATATGCAATGTTTATATTGATGTATTCAATTGAAAATTGAAAAATTGCCTTACTAGAAAGAAAAAGAAAAATTCTTGATTAAAAATAAATAGAAATTGATGAAAAACAAATTTAGATAATCAATGAGTTTATGAATAATGCTAGAAGATTGTTTTCGTATTTCAAAAGCAAATTTAATTTTAATTGATTTTTGAATAATTCTCTTGTCATCTCTTCTTCTCTTATTTGTAATTTAGTTTTACAGAATTCTTTTTGATAAAAATTTAATAGAAAAAAATTTTAAATAGAAAATAGGCAAAAAAATACTGACACTGTTCACTAATCGATAAAATTCATGTTCAGGGATTTTTTTTCTACTTTTTTCACATTTTGTTTGTTTATTTATTTCTTCATTCTTCAATTGTGAATTGATCATCGTTCATGAACAACAACAAATCAGTCAGTCAGCACTATTATTTTCCGGTCATAATGATGTTTTTTTTTTTGCTTTACTATAAAATAAGATAAATCAACAATATAAGAAGATTATACACACACACACCCACACACACACACACACCATGCATACTTCATAACAAAAATCGAAGACTGTATTTCAAATGAAAAATAATGTAATTGTTCTAGAATCTAGATCTTATTGAACGGTACATACGTATGTATCCATATGTGATTGTATGTATGTATGTGTTTCTCAATTGTTTCGATTGATTGACTGAATGAATCGATGAATCGAAATATACAGACGGAATATAAATGTATGTATGTATGTATGAATGGATGCATGGATGGATGGATGAATTGCTTGATTTGATCGACACAAAAAGAATATAGAAAAAAAGCCAATTATTCAAATAAATCCAACATACTGAATCATCATCATTGTTATTGTTGTATAACGAGGCGAGAGAAAAAAAAAGAGAAAGTAATAATAGAAAAAGAAAAAGAGAGAGAGAGAGAGAAGAGGGGTATGGAGAAAAATTTAGATCAAAAGTGATCGTAAACAAATGAAAGTTTATCTGTTCATTCAATTCTATTGAATCAATTCATCTCGATTCTTCAATCGAATCTATATATATATATAAATTGCACTCTGTGGTTCATTCAAAGAATGATATTTATATATAAATCAATGAAAAATATAAAGAATGAAACCAAGCGATATTTTTTCATTCGATAGTCACTAAACCAAAAGCAACAACAACAACAACAACAAAAACCAATTCAAATAATCAAACTAATTGAATGCTGAATGTGAACACACACACACACACACCGACACAGAAAGAAAAAAAAAGAAACAGATACCAAAAATAAGAATAAGAATGAAAACCAATACAAAAAAAGCCTTTTTAGAATTAGAAATCAAGAATTGTTGTTGTTTGATGATGATGATGGTGATGTTTGGGCAAAAGTTGATGATGAATAAATATATTCTACATGTGTATGAAAAATTATGAGCATCTTGAAACAATTTTTTTTTGTATACTACATCCATATAATCTAATGCATCGTTCGGTATTATGCAGTTCAACTCACGTTTGTTCACTATGGTTTAGTTTATTGTTGGTTTAGAATTTTTTTTCTCCAAAAAAAAAAAATTAGATTCATTGACTTTGAAATAAATTGAGATAGAATACGATTGAGAGAAAATATTTTGTTTCCTATATAGTTGATTTTTTTTTATTTGGTGGTTGTGAGTTGTGTGCATGGTTGCGAATCATAATCAATTGAATTGCAATTAGAGTGATGATGATCTCAATGATGAATTGAAATTAACAATAGAATCGAAATTTCCAATCACCATCATCAACATCATCATCATCATCATCATCATCATCATCATTAGCTGATTCATTCATTTTCATACGTATTATGAAGACAAATAGATTAAGCAACAAAACATTGACCAAAATGAAAAAAAAAGAAAAGAAAAGAAAAAAATTTCCTATTGATTATTCTTGATGTTGGTAGCCACAAATCAATCAATTAATCAAATTGTTGTGGATGAATGAATGAATGAATGGAAAAAAATTTTCCGCTATCGAGAATTTATTATTCATTCAATTCCAATAGAATCCCTATAGACAGACAAAAATAAAATTGTGTGATAGTGAAGTGGAAAAAAAATATAGATAAATATCTATATAGGTTATATATAATAGGAAATCAGAATTATTTTATATAAATTGAAAAATGACTTTGTCACTTTTTTTTCATTGCCAAAAAAAAAAGATCAAAAGATGAAAAATTTCAAACTTTTTTTTGTAGTTGTTGTTGTTGTTGTTGTTATAAATTTTTCAAAATACATTATTGATAGATCCAATTTCTGTTGTTGTTGTTGTTGTTGTTGTTGATTCAAAATTCTTTTTTATATAAATAAAATAGATATAAAAAGTATTTATCTGTTACGTTCTTGAATGTTGTTAAATTTTTTTTCAGTAATGAACTACGAATTACAGAGAAAAAAAAATATCTCTCCATTAAAAAAAAAAGAAACAAGAATCATAACTAGGAAAAAACAACAACTATGAATGATGGAATGAGATAAAAATCTTTCAATACAGACAGCAAAAGTAGCTTTTTTTGCGATAATGATAATAGAATGAATAAATGGAACGAATTTTTTTTTTCATTCATTCATTTTTGTTTGTTTCGTTATTTTTTCTGGATGTTTTCAATATTACAATGTTTTTTTTATGGGAAAAAAGTTGATAGATTTTTAATCCGTTTTCAAATTTCATTTTTTTTTGTTCATAAAAGTGCAAAAAAAAAAGAAAATAGTTTTTCAATTCTTTCCCTAAACACACACACACACACATTCACATATGAAATAGGATGATGGAAAAAATTGCCAAGTAAAATGGAATTCTGTTTGATTCTCTCTTTCTCTCTCTCTCTCTCTCTCTCGCGAAAAAAATACATCAAATCAACCAATTTTAAATAGAATGTTTTTTCGATGAAATAAAGAAAATACTTTGCTCTACTTATTATTTTTGATTCGACTTTTATGTATTTTTTTCTGATCTGTTATTCTGTATTCATAAATACCTTGAAAAAAAGAGAAAATGTTTTCCTTTTCTTCTTTTTTATATATAAAAGTTATTATTTTCATCTAATTTCTTCTGTCTAAACAAAAAAAAAATGTTCCATCAATAGATTCGGAATTTTATTTTCAGTTTTTGCTTTCACATTCTCGTTCCACCATATATGTTGTGCACGCTATCTACAGATATGACAAATATATGAAAAAAAAAGAAAGAAAAAAAAAAAAAAAATAAATATAACGAGATGTCATATTTCAAACAAAAGAAAAGAATCCTTGAAAAAAAAGAAATGACGAAAAAGTAAGAATGAAATGAAAAACTTTGGTAGATGTGTGTGTGTGTGTGTATGTGTGTATGGATGGATGTGAAAACAACTTTGTGAAAACAAAAACAAAAAAAAGGATTTTTATTTTTTTCTTTCTCTCTCTCTCTCTCGCTACCCGTATCATATTCAGATGATTCTTTTCAACTTTTCTTTTTTTCTTGGTATTTTCTTTGTTAGAACAAAAGTTTTTTTCACTTCTTTCCATTCATTTGTTTTTTTCCAAGCAATGAATATAAGAAAAGAGTATATTGTGTGTGTGTAAATATTATTTTCTTTTTGTGTAAGGTATAATCATCATCATCATCATCAAAATGATAAATTTAGCATCAACATCGGGTGTGAAACACACAAAAAAAATGTGAAATGATCGTTATTTTTTGCATATTTTATTTCTTATTCATTTCATTAAAATTTTTTATATCAAATATGATGACCATAATGATGAAGAATTTGATGACATTTGCATCAAATTTTTCTTCAGGAACTTTGTGAGCCCACTTGTTATTATTGATGTTAATATATAAAGTACGAGTCAAAAATGTTAATCATTTGTAAATTTGTTTTAAACGAAAATTATTTATTTTTTTTCATCATTATTTTTAAATTAAATTTTCTCTATCTATTTTCTGGGATACAATTTGTGTTCATCTAATTCACGGAATTAGTCGTTTTTTTCTGGGAATCAAGTCTCAAGGTAATGGAATAAAAAAAACACATGCTGAGTGATAAATGATTTGTGTATTAATGAAATGCATTTCTATTCCATTTAATGATTAAGAAAATGAATCAATTGACACAAGACCAATTTAAGGAAAAAAGTGTCGAAAAAAACATACAGTGCACCTATTGGGATGTGTTTTTTTTATTTCTCAATCAATATTTTCGTTTCGGACAAAATGATTCAAGAGTGCAAAGTTTTTTTTTTATTCTCGCCCAACTAATCTGTATTGAAAAGAGAAAGAGAGTGAGAGTGAAAAGGAAAAAAAGGTTGATTGAAAATTGAATCGAAAGTTGGATTTCAATTCCTCATTCATTCATTCATTCATTTATTTCTTGTTGGCGAAAAAAAAAATTGTCACCACCACCAACGACAACAAATCGGATGACAATTTTAACGGAAAACGACAAAAAAAAATTTAATTCAAAATTTTTTTCCATTCATTCATTTATCTATACTGTTTGAATCATTTCATTTCTTTGTGATACAAACATTTTTTTTATATAAATTGGCGAGGTAGAAAAAAATTTTTATTTCATTTCAATCATTATATTCGCATAAATGCAAAGGTGATTGATAACAATATTATCAATATTGAAACAGCTGTAACGGATTATTTGAAGGGGTCCATCAGCCGGAGAAAGACAGAGCTTGAACTGTCATCATCGGCTGACACAAACGCCGACATAAAAGCGCAAGAAAAACGATGGTGCAGTTTTAGAATCGTTTTGTGAGTATTATGGTCTACGCTAAAGCAGTAGAAAAGTTGCAATCCGCCGTCTTGACTATGGAAGAAGAAATATCGTTTTCACCAAATTGGAAAGATCTGGAAGAAGCATGTGAACTCATCAAGCATACAGAAAGAAAATTTCCATTCTCGGATGTCCATCACAACAACTGGCTTGAGAAACTATACGAATGGAAGGAAAAAATCGAACAGCAATCAGTATCATCCAATCGATCGCAGGGCAGCATCAACAGTTATACCACCGCACAACGTGGCGATGAGTTCAGAGTCAAGATCGAAAAGAAAAAATTAGCAAAATTCAATGGCGATCCCATCGACTATTATAAATTTCGACATGACATACTACATTATATCATCAAAAATCCACAAATTCAAGGACGATTAAACAAGTTAACCGAAATCCAAGATCTGCTGCCTAATCATCACCGGTATTTGTTGAACAGAGTAATTCGTAACGAAGCAGGCATTGAAGATGCATTGAAAAAGCTCGATGATTTTTACGCATCGGAACATCAAATCATTCCAGCATTAAAAAATAAAATCAAATTGTTACCGCATTTGTCACAGAGAGCAACCGTCAATGATTGGACGACCTGGCTGGAAACAGTGGTAATAATTCGTGATACATTAGCCGCATCCAATCTGCTACATGAAGATTACAATATGACGACGTATATATTGTACAAGGTAGATGATGTATATCAACAACAAATCGATGGTGACCACAAAATAAAACTAGCACAGCTAGAAGAATTTCTCGAACGCGGTGCGGCGAGAAAAGCAGCCATAAGTGGCCGGCTCGACGAAAATCCATGGACGACGGCTGATAAGCCTCGATCGATGATCAGACGTCCCATCAACAATGTGATGATGACAACCAACAACAAGTGTTTCTTTCAAGATGGTGATCATAAAACTGACGAATGTAAACTATCTGGTGATGCCCGACGGCAGTTCTTGTTTACAAATCGACTATGCTTTGGTTGCGGTGAAAGTGGACATAATGGCCGGGAGTGTCCAAAAATACTGAAGTGCAATCACTGCCAGCGAAGACATGCGTCACAGTTTTGTTTTCGACATAATCAACCAAGTGTGTTAACGCCAACCATGCCAACATCATCGAACGCTAATAATGAAGCTTCAGAAAGCTCAAGTCAACCGACGTTATTGATACCAGCTGGCCGAAGTCTTCATAAAACATTGACTACCACAATTAATGGACGAAAAATACGAGTTGTGTTTGACGATGGAGCCGGGACCTCGTTCATCTCTTCCAAGGTGGCACACGAATGGAATCTTGTTGCATCCAGAGCTGAACCAATTTTCATGGACACCTTAAGCAACGCTAAACCAACTGCCACTGGTCATCAAATGGTACATATAGAGATGCCAACGTGGGGCGGACAACACGAGAATCTCGGGTTTCGACTGAACGATAAATTGGACCAATTGCAGTTTCATTGTATTCCTATCGACGTGCAAAAACAGCTACGACAACAAGGTATTGATTTCCAAGACGAACAACGTCCGGTTGACATGTTAATTGGACTTGACAACATCAACAAGATTCAGCTTCCAGATGAACGACGAGTAATGCATGACGTTATCGCTAAACGTACGACAATGGGTTGGGTAGTCTTTGGGGTGACCAATCGAACGAATGTACTGTTGAGCTACGATCAATCGTTATCGGTGGAACCGGCACTGGATGTGGACATCGAGGATGAAGACAAAGAAGCCATGGAAAAATTCCTGGAAAACTATTGTACCGGCGATAGTGTCAAGTACGACCAACAAGAAAAAAGATATTCAGTAAAATTGCCGTTTATCCCAAATGTGAAAGTTCAACCAAATTTCGATGCGGCCAAGAAACAGTTGTGGAGCATGGTAAAACACATGACAAACGAAAGACGAACCGGATATCAAGAATTGATAGACGATTTGGTCCAAAATAAAATTGTTGAACAAGTGGCAATCAACCCCGATGACGGATACCATATGCCACATTTTGTGGTCACACGCAATGATAAAAACACCACGAAAATGCGAATCGTATTTAATGCCTCGAACGGAACACAACCACTTAACAAGGCCATTTTCAAAGGCGTGACAGCTTGGTATATCATCCGCTCATTGTTGTTCTTCCGCTTGCAGACCATGGCAGTGATCAGTGACATAAAATCTGCCTTTCACAACATCGCAATACAACCTGAACATAAAAAGTTTGTCAAGTTTTTATGGATCGATAATGACGAAAACACGGTTTGTTACCAGTTCAATCGGCTGCCGTTCGGCCTTTCTTCAAGTCCGTTCATTTTATACGCAGTGGTGATGCATCATCTAAAACAGTATCGATCCAAATATCCTCAAACGGTGAACGCGATAATTAATGGACTGTATGTCGATGACCTGATATTTTCCGCCAACAATCAACGCGAAGTTGAACAGATAAAATGTGATAGCCAGATGATCTTTGCTGAAGCATCAATGATGTTGAGGAAGTGGCGGTCATCGGACAAAGCCCTTAATGATCGTTGGGGTGATGGACTTGCCGAAACCAAGGTCTTAGGCGTAGAATGGACCGAGGATGATCAAATGCGGGTGTTGATTCCCGAATTTACTGATGGCGGAAACATCACAAAACGGGCTTTGTTAAAGTATCACGCATCGATTTACGACCCATTCGGATTTGTGTTGGCAACGACCTTGAAGCTGAAAATGATGATACATGAATCATGGAAATTGGGCTACGAATGGGATGATCCCTTAAGTCCAGATCTACAGAAGAAAGCTCGGAAAATTATTCACGAAATCAAAGAATTGGATCAATTCAGTTTTCCCGTCGGATATTTGACAAGTCAGTAGAAGAATTCGATTTAATGGTGTTTGTCGATGCAAGTCAACATGCAATTGGTATCGCAAGCTATCTAACAAATGGTCAGCAGCTAACGTTAATCTATGCCAAATCCAAATTGATCAAACCACGAAAGATTGTAAGTGCTGAGCTCTTGGCGTTGTCGGCCGGTGCCAATACAGCCAAAACATTGGGAGATCTCGTGAATGCTCGACACATAATATTGTTCTCTGATTCCATGGATAACGTAAAACGTTTAGAAGAAGACATGAACAAATATCCGTATCCTGTGGCCGTCCATTTGTTCAACATAAAATCAAAAATCAGTGATATTCGACACATACGAGGAGAAATCAATCCTGCTGATGCATTCACTAGAGGAGTGACGGTTGACGAATTGAAGAAGTTACATCGATTAAATTATCACGATATTATTGAACTACAAGATGTGGTAGTTGGTGTTGGTTTGACGGTGAACGGTTCCTCGGAAAAATATGATATTTCTAAATTTGATCTTGATAGCAAACGACCTTATAACCAATGGATCGAGCTTGTGCAACAACAATCTGACGATTGGAAAAAATCCATCGATGAAACTATGAATGAATTGACCATATTAATCAAAATTAATCAACGAAGGTTCCTGGATGACCATTTCGACAAACACATTCCAACATTTTGTGATGATCAAGGCCTGGTACGATGTTTGACACGACTGGAGAATTCAGATTTGAGTTACGACGAAAAATACCCGATTGCTTTGCCGACATGTGAATTTACGTTAGCATTGATGGAACGTACACATGAAAATGATGAACATGGTTCGGTGAATTATACATTGGCCAATTTTCGAATGAAGTATTTCACACCACGCGCACGACAACAATTCATAAAAATCAAAAAACCGATGCTCTAAATGTCGCCAATTACGTGCTAAACCATTGCAAGTATCTCTCGGTAATCCTCCCAGTACACGATTGGACAGAAGTCATCCTTTTGAACATATCGGAGTGGATATTTTTTGAACTGAAAACCGACCCGAAAACCATTGGAATGATATTCACGTGTTGCGTCACACGGGCGGTGCATTTCGAAGTATTGGAAAATATGACAGCCGAATGTGTATGTGACGCCTTTCAAATATTCGCGGCTCTTAGAAGAGTTCCGTCCACAGTATATTCAGATAATGGAACGAACTTTAAACGACTGGGAAACATGTTTAATGAAGCGTATACCGTATTGAAAGACAATTTCCAATGGAGATTCAATACGCCCGCCGCACCATTCCGAGGAGGCTTCTTTGAATCGCTTATAAAATCCATGAAGAAGGGATTTTACAGTATAATGTGGAAAAAGGACATTAAACCCACGATGGTTCGACTTGTGCTTTATCGAATTCAATCCTTAATGAACGCCAGACCGTTAATACATGATAATTCAACCATTGTCACACCGAATCACCTGATGTACGGAGCTAGCAGTAACGGATCATTGGCACCACCACGACGAGGGGTACAACCAAGTTGTTTATTAAAGTATTGGAGGGGAACGCAACGATTGGTGGACGGTGCATGGAAAACGTATCGAGACATATATCTCAAAAGCCTAAGAAATTATCATCAGAATATCAAACATTATCAATATGTTCAAGTGGGTGATGAGGTGCTATTGGTGGACAAAGGATTGCCTGTATCATTGTGGACCACCGGAAACATTGTCGAAACAATCCCGGACGCTCGTGGTGTAATCCGAACTTATCGAGTAAAGGCCGGCGACCGAATATTCGAACGACCAGCACAACGTTTGGCGCCACTGGAAGCCGCTTTCGAGAGGAGGGAGGATATGTAACGGATTATTTGAAGGGGTCCATCAGCCGGAGAAAGACAGAGCTTGAACTGTCATCATCGGCTGACACAAACGCCAACATAAAAGCGCAAGAAAAACGATGGTGCAGTTTTAGAATCGTTTTGTGAGTATTATGGTCGTGTTTGTGTATTGTGTTTTCTTGAGTTTATTTTTCTTGTGTTCATGTTCTGGTCTTCATGTTTTTTCAGATATTCACCATTGATTTAAAGTGGTCTGGTCATTTCTCACGTCGCACGTATACTATCGAATCAATAACAACGTTTTCCAAAATCGTCTTCTGGTTTTAATTTTTTGGTCAACAATCAACCTTCAATAAATTATTCTTCAACTCATATCACAATTACTGACTTTAATCTATTACAATTTTGTTCTTTTCTATTCCATCAATAAAGTTTTCTTTTAAACAAACAGTCCTGTTCTGAGTTCGTTTTCGTTTTTTCTGTTACACAAAATCCATGGACGACGGCTGATAAGCCTCGATCGATGATCAGACGTCCCATCAACAATGTGATGATGACAACCAACAACAAGTGTTTCTTTCAAGATGGTGATCATAAAACTGACGAATGTAAACTATCTGGTGATGCCCGACGGCAGTTCTTGTTTACAAATCGACTATGCTTTGGTTGCGGTGAAAGTGGACATAATGGCCGGGAGTGTCCAAAAATACTGAAGTGCAATCACTGCCAGCGAAGACATGCGTCACAGTTTTGTTTTCGACATAATCAACCAAGTGTGTTAACGCCAACCATGCCAACATCATCGAACGCTAATAATGAAGCTTCAGAAAGCTCAAGTCAACCGACGTTATTGATACCAGCTGGCCGAAGTCTTCATAAAACATTGACTACCACAATTAATGGACGAAAAATACGAGTTGTGTTTGACGATGGAGCCGGGACCTCGTTCATCTCTTCCAAGGTGGCACACGAATGGAATCTTGTTGCATCCAGAGCTGAACCAATTTTCATGGACACCTTAAGCAACGCTAAACCAACTGCCACTGGTCATCAAATGGTACATATAGAGATGCCAACGTGGGGCGGACAACACGAGAATCTCGGGTTTCGACTGAACGATAAATTGGACCAATTGCAGTTTCATTGTATTCCCTATCGACGTGCAAAACAGCTACGACAACAAGGTATTGATTTCCAAGACGAACAACGTCCGGTTGACATGTTAATTGGACTTGACAACATCAACAAGATTCAGCTTCCAGATGAACGACGAGTAATGCATGACGTTATCGCTAAACGTACGACAATGGGTTGGGTAGTCTTTGGGGTGACCAATCGAACGAATGTACTGTTGAGCTACGATCAATCGTTATCGGTGGAACCGGCACTGGATGTGGACATCGAGGATGAAGACAAAGAAGCCATGGAAAATTCCTGGAAAACTATTGTACCGGCGATAGTGTCAAGTACGACCAACAAGAAAAAGATATTCAGTAAAATTGCCGTTTATCCCAAATGTGAAAGTTCAACCAAATTTCGATGCGGCCAAGAAACAGTTGTGGAGCATGGTAAAACACATGACAAACGAAAGACGAACCGGATATCAAGAATTGATAGACGATTTGGTCCAAAATAAAATTGTTGAACAAGTGGCAATCAACCCCGATGACGGATACCATATGCCACATTTTGTGGTCACACGCAATGATAAAACACCACGAAAATGCGAATCGTATTTAATGCCTCGAACGGAACACAACCACTTAACAAGGCCATTTTCAAAGGCGTGACAGCTTGGTATATCATCCGCTCATTGTTGTTCTTCCGCTTGCAGACCATGGCAGTGATCAGTGACATAAAATCTGCCTTTCACAACATCGCAATACAACCTGAACATAAAAAGTTTGTCAAGTTTTTATGGATCGATAATGACGAAAACACGGTTTGTTACCAGTTCAATCGGCTGCCGTTCGGCCTTTCTTCAAGTCCGTTCATTTTATACGCAGTGGTGATGCATCATCTAAAACAGTATCGATCCAAATATCCTCAAACGGTGAACGCGATAATTAATGGACTGTATGTCGATGACCTGATATTTTCCGCCAACAATCAACGCGAAGTTGAACAGATAAAATGTGATAGCCAGATGATCTTTGCTGAAGCATCAATGATGTTGAGGAAGTGGCGGTCATCGGACAAAGCCCTTAATGATCGTTGGGGTGATGGACTTGCCGGAAACCAAGGTCTTAGGGCGTAGAATGACCGAGGATGATCAAATGCGGTGTTGATTCACCCTACTGACGGCGGAACATCACAAAACGGGGCTTTTGTTAAAGTATCACGCATCGATTTACGACCCATTCGGATTTGGTGTTGGCAACGACCTTGAAGCTGAAAATGATGATACATGAATCATGGAAGGCCGAATGGGATGTGATCCCTTAAGTCCAGATTCACAGAAGAAAGCTCGGAAAATTATTCACGAAATCAAAGAATTGGATCAATTCAGTTTTCCCCGGGTTTGATATTTGACAAGTCAGTAGAAGAATCTGATTTACCGGTGTTTGTCGATGTCAACATGCAATTGCACGGCAAGCCATCAAATGGTCAGCAGCTAACGTTAACGGCGCCAAACCAAATCTCGATCAAACCACGAAAAGATTGTAAAGGAGCTTCCTGGCGCGTTGTCGGCCGGTTAAAAACAGCCAAAACATTGGGAGATCTCGTGAATGCTCGACACATAATATTGTTCTCTGATTCCATGGATAACGTAAAACGTTTAGAAGAAGACATGAACAAATATCCGTATCCTGTGGCCGTCCATTTGTTCAACATAAAATCAAAATCAGTGATATTCGACACATACGAGGAGAAATCAATCCTGCTGATGCATTCACTAGAGGAGTGACGGTTGACGAATTGAAGAAGTTACATCGATTAAATTATCACGATATTATTGAACTACAAGATGTGGTAGTTGGTGTTGGTTTGACGGTGAACGGTTCCTCGGAAAAATATGATATTTCTAAATTTGATCTTGATAGCAAACGACCTTATAACCAATGGATCGAGCTTGTGCAACAACAATCTGACGATTGGAAAAAATCCATCGATGAAACTATGAATGAATTGACCATATTAATCAAAATTAATCAACGAAGGTTCCTGGATGACCATTTCGACAAACACATTCCAACATTTTGTGATGATCAAGGCCTGGTACGATGTTTGACACGACTGGAGAATTCAGATTTGAGTTACGACGAAAATACCCGATTGCTTTGCCGACATGTGAATTTACGTTAGCATTGATGGAACGTACACATGAAAATGATGAACATGGTTCGGTGAATTATACATTGGCCAATTTTCGAATGAAGTATTTCACACCACGCGCACGACAACAATTCATAAAAATCAAAACCGATGCTCTAAATGTCGCCAATTACGTGCTAAACCATTGCAAGTATCTCTCGGTAATCCTCCCAGAGCCAAAAACAACACAACAAATAAAAAAAGGTTTGGCTGAATTCTTTCGGAAAAAAAGAGAGCCCATTCAAAAGCATTGTGTTTATTTTTATTTTTTTATCTACGACAGAAAAAAATGCGCTGACAACATGAATGAAAAAAAACAGGCCATTCAGTATGCATGGATAAATTCTTTTTCTTTTGTTTAAAATTGAATTCCATTTTATTCAGAATTTTTTTTATGACAATTCTGTTTTGTTTGTTTGGTTGTTTGTTTGTTTGGTGCACATTTGAAATCAGAAAAATCTGTAAACAGAAAAACACACACACACATGAAGACACAAAATTGTACACAGAAAATGAATTGAACAATTGATCGTGTACAATAATACAACAAACTTTAAACAATTTTTGAAATGATTTTCAGAAAAAAAAAGTATTTTTGAATCATCGATAGCAACCAAATTTATTCTATTCAATTCAAATCGATGTTGTTGGCATCCACACACACACACACACACACACACACACATAGAGACCAGAATTTTCCATTTGAATGGATCAAGAGACAAGATGATTTTTTTTCTATATATTTTTTTCAAATTAAAACTTGACTTTTTTTTGGCTGATTTCAACAACAACAACAACAACAACAAAAAGAAAAAACGACAAAATCAAAAGCATACACACACACACACACACACGCACACAGAATCGATGTCATATTCTTCTTAACCTTTTCATAATAATGTATGTATGTTCTGTTTTTGATTGACAAAGTAATTGAATGGTGGTACCATAGAATTTTGATCACATACACACACACACACACACACACACACACACACACGTTTTGTACTGTATTCATTGTCATCATCAAAGTATTTATTTATTTTTTGAATAATTTTTTTCTTCTTTTTCGGTCACGATATATATATATTTTATTAGGAGAATAACATTGTACTTATCTGTGTGTGTGTGTGTGTTTGCTATGTTTATCCTTGAATATTCATCTTTTAGGTTTATTAAATTCTACATATATAAAAATGACAAAAGATGAATCAAAGAATGAGAAGAATAAGATGAAATTTCTTAAATAAACGAATGAAAAATGAAAAATTGGTTGAGATTTAATTAAATTTTTTCGTTTCAAAACGTCACCAAAAAAAACGGCAACGGCAAAAACATGTTTATCGCCAACATTTATTTTTTCACCATCCAAAGCTATTATTTGAAAAAAATGATGAAGAAAAAAAAATTCTTTTTTTTCTGTCCTCTTTGATAGGCCAATTTCCGATGGCTTGAAAATTGAATTGACTGCTTGCACACACACACACACACATACAAAGTTTATTCTAGCTTGCGTGCTTGTTAAAATTATCTCAATATTATATATCATTTAAGGTACTTGATTCATTAAAGAATTTATGATGAAATATGATGAAGTAAGAAAAAAAAAATTCAGCTCAATGTAATATTTCACAGTCGATGAAGATTTGGACATTAGTTAAATAAAATATATATATATATATGTGTGTGTGTGTAGCAAACAAAATCATAAAGATGAAGAAAATAAAAAAAAAGAAAAGAAAAAAAATCGATTCATATCATCTAAGATCAGATCTAATTTTTTTTTCTTTTCTAGCTTTCTATTCTTGAAACAGCAATGAAGAAGATGATGATGAGATGGTATATTTTTCATTCGGAAATCTCTCATAATATATACCAAGTTCTTCAAGTGTCTTGAGCATTATCATTATCATTTAAAGCTTTGAAAGATAGTGAAGAGAAAAAAAAGAATTCAAAGAATAGAAACAATAGTAAAAAAAACAAGAAAAAAAACTGAGAAAAATGAGCCCATTTATGTTATAATTCACACGAACATACACACACACAGAGAGAGAGAGAGAGAGACGAGTATTTTTTTCATTTTGTTCAAAAATAAAACACATTCTCGCTTACAGATTAAGTAATTTGTTGTT